ATGTTCCTGGTCCCTCATGTCCCTGGTCCCTCATGTCCCTGGTCCCTCATGTCCCTGGTCCTTCATGTTCCTGGTCCCTCATGTCCCTGGTCCCTCATGTCCCTGGTCCCTCATGTCCCTGGTCCTTCATGTCCCTGGTCCTTCATGTTCCTGGTCCTTCATGTTCCTGGTCCCTCATGTCCCTGGTCCCTCATGTCCCTGGTCCTTCATGTCCCTGGTCCTTCATGTCCCTGGTCCTTCATGTTCCTGGTCCCTCATGTCCCTGGTCCCTCATGTCCCTGGTCCTTCATGTCCCTGGTCCTTCATGTCCCTGGTCCTTCATGTTCCTGGTCCCTCATGTCCCTGGTCCCTCATGTCCCTGGTCCTTCAGTCCCTGGTCCTTCATGTTCCTGGTCCTTCATGTTCCTGGTCCCTCATGTCCCTGGTCCCTCATGTCCCTGGTCCTTCATGTCCCTGGTCCTTCATGTCCCTGGTCCTTCATGTTCCTGGTCCCTCATGTCCCTGGTCCCCTCATGTCCCTGGTCCCTCATGTCCCTGGTCCTTCATGTTCCTGGTCCCTCATGTCCCTGGTCCCTCATGTCCCTGGTCCCTCATGTCCCTGGTCCTTCATGTCCCTGGTCCTTCATGTTCCTGGTCCTTCATGTTCCTGGTCCCTCATGTCCCTGGTCCCTCATGTCCCTGGTCCTTCATGTCCCTGGTCCTTAATGTCCCTGGTCCTTCATGTTCCTGGTCCCTCATGTCCCTGGTCCCTCATGTCCCTGGTCCTTCATGTCCCTGGTCCTTCATGTCCCTGGTCCTTCATGTTCCTGGTCCCTCATGTCCCTGGTCCCTCATGTCCCTGGTCCCTCATGTCCCTGGTCCTTCATGTTCCTGGTCCCTCATGTCCCTGGTCCCTCATGTCCCTGGTCCCTCATGTCCCTGGTTCTTCATGTCCCTGGTCCTTCATGTTCCTGGTCCTTCATGTTCCTGGTCCCTCATGTCCCTGGTCCCTCATGTCCCTGGTCCTTCATGTCCCTGGTCCTTCATGTTCCTGGTCCTTCATGTTCCTGGTCCCTCATGTCCCTGGTCCCTCATGTCCCTGGTCCTTCATGTCCCTGGTCCTTCATGTCCCTGGTCCTTCATGTTCCTGGTCCCTCATGTCCCTGGTCCCTCATGTCCCTGGTCCTTCATGTCCCTGGTCCTTCATGTCCCTGGTCCTTCATGTTCCTGGTCCCTCATGTCCCTGGTCCCTCATGTCCCTGGTCCTTCATGTCCCTGGTCCTTCATGTTCCTGGTCCTTCATGTTCCTGGTCCCTCATGTCCCTGGTCCCTCATGTCCCTGGTCCTTCATGTCCCTGGTCCTTCATGTCCCTGGTCCTTCATGTTCCTGGTCCCTCATGTCCCTGGTCCCTCATGTCCCTGGTCCCTCATGTCCCTGGTCCTTCATGTTCCTGGTCCCTCATGTCCCTGGTCCCTCATGTCCCTGGTCCCTCATGTCCCTGGTCCTTCATGTCCCTGGTCCTTCATGTTCCTGGTCCTTCATGTTCCTGGTCCCTCATGTCCCTGGTCCCTCATGTCCCTGGTCCTTCATGTCCCTGGTCCTTCATGTCCCTGGTCCTTCATGTTCCTGGTCCCTCATGTCCCTGGTCCCTCATGTCCCTGGTCCTTCATGTCCCTGGTCCTTCATGTCCCTGGTCCTTCATGTTCCTGGTCCCTCATGTCCCTGGTCCCTCATGTCCCTGGTCCCTCATGTCCCTGGTCCTTCATGTTCCTGGTCCCTCATGTCCCTGGTCCCTCATGTCCCTGGTTCTTCATGTCCCTGGTCCTTCATGTTCCTGGTCCTTCATGTTCCTGGTCCCTCATGTCCCTGGTCCCTCATGTCCCTGGTCCTTCATGTCCCTGGTCCTTCATGTCCCTGGTCCTTCATGTTCCTGGTCCCTCATGTCCCTGGTCCCTCATGTCCCTGGTCCCTCATGTCCCTGGTCCTTCATGTTCCTGGTCCCTCATGTCCCTGGTCCCTCATGTTCCTGGTCCCTCATGTCCCTGGTCCTTCATGTTCCTGGTCCCTCATGTTCCTGGCCCCTCATGTCCCTGGTCCCTCATGTCCCTGGTCCTTCATGTCCCTGGTCCTTCATGTTCCTGGTCCCTCATGTCCCTGGTCCCTCATGTCCCTGGTCCCTCATGTCCCTGGTCCTTCATGTTCCTGGTCCCCATGTCCCTGGTCCCTCATGTCCCTGGTCCCTCATGTCCCTGGTCCTTCATGTCCCTGGTCCTTCATGTTCCTGGTCCTTCATGTTCCTGGTCCCTCATGTCCCTGGTCCCTCATGTCCCTGGTCCTTCATGTCCCTGGTCCTTCATGTCCCTGGTCCTTCATGTTCCTGGTCCCTCATGTCCTGGTCCCTCATGTCCCTGGTCCTTCATGTCCCTGGTCCTTCATGTCCCTGGTCCTTCATGTTCCTGGTCCCTCATGTCCTGGTCCCTCATGTCCCTGGTCCCTCATGTCCCTGGTCCCTCATGTCCCTGGTCCTTCATGTTCCTGGTCCCTCATGTCCCTGGTCCCTCATGTCCCTGGTTCTTCATGTCCCTGGTCCTTCATGTTCCTGGTCCTTCATGTTCCTGGTCCCTCATGTCCCTGGTCCCTCATGTCCCTGGTCCTTCATGTCCCTGGTCCTTCATGTCCCTGGTCCTTCATGTTCCTGGTCCCTCATGTCCCTGGTCCCTCATGTCCCTGGTCCCTCATGTCCCTGGTCCTTCATGTTCCTGGTCCCTCATGTCCCTGGTCCCTCATGTTCCTGGTCCCTCATGTCCCTGGTCCTTCATGTTCCTGGTCCCTCATGTTCCTGGCCCCTCATGTCCCTGGTCCCTCATGTCCCTGGTCCTTCATGTCCCTGGTCCTTCATGTTTCTCCACAGTTGCCTCTCTGTTGTGTATCCGCTGTGACGAGCTGCAGGAGGCCCTCACCACTCACTGCGTCGTGGCTCGTGGTGAGACCATTGTGAGGACCAACACGGTGGAGAAGGCCACGGTGGTGAGGGACGCCATGAGTAAGGCCCTGTACGGACGCCTCTTCAGCTGGATCGTCAACCGCATCAACTCCCTGCTGCGACCGGACAGCGGCCAGCGAGGGTGAGCCACGGCACCACGGCAACAGTTTAAGTTTAAGTTTGTAAGGGGGGTGGAGCTTGGAAGGGTTGTGTGGATGTTTATGTGTGTGTGTGTAAGGATGTAGGTGTGTGTCTGTGTGTGTGTGTGTGTAAGGGTGTAGGTGTGTGTGTGTGTGTGTGTGTGTGTGTGTGTATTTACATGTATGTTGGGACCCATGGGAGGGAGGGAGGGAGGGATGGGACAAAAAATGTAAATTATTTGCACATTTATTCATGTTCCTTAACCATTGTCATTCTGCATGCAGCGCAACACAATAAATACTTGATCCAAAAAGAAAAAGATTGCTGCTCCAGATTTAGAACCGCACTGCTCTCTCTCTGTGGTTCTTGACAACACAATAAGTAATAATTTAACAACTCTGAGCCGTGCATTATACAATTATAATGCATCACACGGAGTCTAATTGCCAGACTTGTCCAGACTTTTGTGACTCAAAAATTCAGGCTGTTCTGAGGTTAAAATGAGCTCCACAAAGATTCACATTTGACAGAGCTGAAGTTGGCTGAATAAAAAAAATGATAGGCTACATACATGGGTCAGACATGATTTTTTTTTAACATAATATAACTTTATTATGAAATTATGAACTATCATGAAGTCACTTACAGTACTTATTTGTCCCATGGTCAGAAATCACATTTAAGGCCAAGTCTCACCAATGTTGTTTTTAGAATGAACATGCGAAAGGTCTGAAAATGTTAGGAAGCAAATAGCACCAGTTTCTCATCTCTTCTTTTTCAACAATTCTTCTTCTTCTTCAGAGAGAACGAGCAGAACCTAAACATCGGGATTCTGGACATTTTTGGCTTTGAGAACTTCAAGAAGAACTCCTTTGAACAACTGTGCATCAACATCGCCAACGAACAGATCCAGTTCTACTTCAACCAACACATCTTCGCCTGGGAGCAGGTAAACTACAGCCGTCACTGGGACTGCCAGAGCCGTCACTGGGACTGCCAGAGCCGTCACTGGGACTGCCAGAGCCGTCGTTTTGACTGCTCCCACTCAAACCAATGGAATTATGAAATTTTCCTTTTTCCTACCTTTTGTCACTTTTAATGTTTGCTGCAACCATTACCTAAAGGTGCAATATGTACAAATCTGGCCTGTGGTGCTGCACTCTCCCCGACTCAGGTTGCCAGATATGCAGACAATAGTAGCTGAATATGCAAGAGTTTAGTCAACAACAAATCTATAACCAACGCTTTTTTTCCACAAAGGCTCGATAGAAATCCTCGTTTTATTCCTTGTTTTGTCGTTAATAATTTGAGAATCTTAACGAGACCTTGATTAGTGCAGCGGCCACATGGTACTTTACCAGTGAAATTGGATTGGTGAGTTATGGAAACCCAGATGACAGACTTTCTCATTGGTAAAACGGTGGAGGGCGGGATATAAAAATGAAAACAATAACAAGATTAAGGGGCTGTAAAACTAATTTTGAAATCCAAATATCTATATTTTAAATTCTACTTTTATCAGCAAAAGGAGCATTGGAAAAGAGCATGTTTTATGAATTCCTTTTGACAGATTTGGGCCGTTTGATGACATGAAAATCTTACATTTTGCTACTTTAAAATACACCAACAACAGTTTATTGGAAGGCTAAATTATTACTGAATTTTAAATTATAATCCCAAATTTATGTAGACCACAAAGGTCATCTGTGGTCTTCATTACGCTTCCACAACGCTTCCAAAACTAAAAGCTGTCAAATTGACTGCTGTGGGAGATCTAGTGTAAACTGCTCAGATTCGTCCTGGGAGGAACTTTGTCTGCATTTGTCACCTTCATGGTTCTGGCTCATTTCTATGTAAATGACCGGAGTGTGTCATCGTTTGTCACTGTGCGCTTAAAGCAAGACGGCAAGGGTAAAATATTCCTCCATTTTTATTTACGGGGTGATCGGGGGCCTTTATGTGCTGTCTCTGGTGGGTGTGGATTCGCCTTGAGGGGAGGGTTTAAACAGAACGGTTTGCTAATGTTAAATGATTTGGTCTCTCCCATCGAGTGGCTCAATAAATCACCCCCCAATGAGGGTCAATTAGGAGAGACAGTCAGCGTTAAACTCACTCTGGGGGATTGTTGGCGCCCAGCCCGGGAATACAATGTCTTGCTGTACGGCACTTTATGGACTCTCCAAATGGAAATGGTACAATGCAAATATGTCTAACCTCGAGTGATTCACCTGCTTTTACGATCTTATTCGTCCTACAACTCCTGCTTTTCACGCTTTTCACGACACCCAAAGATACACATAGCATTATTCATTCCCTCCATACACTGTGGTGGTAAGTACTGCCATAGCCACATGTGCCTCGGGGTTAACGGACGAAAGAGGCAACTAATCTGTGCCGTCGGCCTCGCAGGCCACCACCGATCGATCGCGCAAACACCAGGCTCGTTCTGGGCAATGTGGGCGACGTGTCTTACCCAAGGACCAAGCAGCAGGTTGTTTTCCTGAGACAATAGGCTTTAAAAGAAGAATAACATGCCATAGTATCCCATTACCATCAATGCTGCAAGTTACTGTAATTATGATAGCTGAAAACCATTTCAGTGGCCACTAAAAATGGTCTTGTGGGCCGGGTTTGGCTCTTGGGCCTGAGGTTGACCTGCCTGATCTATGCCTATGACCTACATGTATAAAGAGCATATCGCAGCTATCTCAGGTTTCCCAGTCTTTCCCAGTGTTTCCCAGTGTTTCCCAGTGTTTCCAGTCTTTCCCAGTCTTTCCCAGTATTTCCCAGTCTTTCCCAGTCTTTCCCAGTCTTTCCCAATGTTCCCAGTCTTTCCAGTCTTTCCCAGTTTTTCCCAGTCGTTCCAGTCTTTCCCAGTCTTCCCAGTCTTTCCCAGTGTTTCCCAGTCATTCCAGTCTTTCCAGTGTTTCCCGGTCTTTCCCGGTCTTTCCCAGTCTTTCCAGTCTTTCCAGTCTTTCCAGTCTTTCCCAGTCTTTCCCAGTCTTTCCAGTCTTTCCCAGTCTTTCCCAGTCTTTCCCAGTCTTTCCCAGTCTTTCCCAGTCTATTCCAGTCTTTCCAGTGTTCCCAGTCTTTCCCAGTCTTTCCCAGTCTATTCCAGTCTTTCCAGTGTTCCCAGTGTTTCCCAGTGTTTCCCAGTCTTTCCAGTGTTTCCAGTGTTTCCAGTGTTTCCCAGTGTTTCCCAGTCTTTCCAGTGTTTCCAGTGTTTCCAGTGTTCCCAGTGTTTCCCAGTGTTTCCCAGTGTTTCCCAGTCTTTCCAGTGTTTCCAGTGTTTCCAGTGTTTCCAGTGTTTCCAGTCTTTCCCAGTCTTTCCCAGTCTTTCCCAGTCTTTCCCAGTGCTTCCCAGTGCGCCGCTCATTGGCTCAGTGTGATTTCATGCTCCGGTGCTCGCTCTGATTCGATGTTGTTTGTTCCCAATTCGTCCTTTGCTCCAGAACAACAGTCGTCCGTGAGCTGCAGCTCTGACTCACGCTCGCGGACGCTGAGTTAATACGCCGTGATTTCTGCATTAAGTCTCCAGAGCAGGACTCGCCATAACTGGAAAATGACAAATTAACGCGATTAGGAATGTGCTTTGAACGCTCGTAATAGATCTGAGGCACGTTTATTTGTACAGCACAGTTCATAGACGAGGCAACTCAAAGTGGATAACCAAAGAATAAAAGAAACAGCACAATCATTTTAATCAAAGTACATTAAGAAAATATGATAATTCAGTTTCAGCACGGATAAACAGTTTTTTTTCACATTTTCAGGAATTTTCTCCAGATTTTAGCTGCATGAATCTGAGAAGCTGCCTCCCCATGTTTAGTCCTTACTGTGGGACCAGCAGGAGGCCAGTCCCTGTGCTCCTTAGAGTCCCAGCAGAAGGCCATTCCCTGTGCTCCTCAGAGTCCCAGCAGGAGGCCTGTCCCTGTGCTCCTTAGAGTCCCAGTAGGAGGCCTGTCCCTGTGCTCCTTAGAGTCCCAGCAGGAGGCCAGTCCCTGTGCTCCTCAGAGTCCCAGCAGGAGGCCAGTAACCTGTGCTCCTCAGTGTCCCAGCAGGAGGCCAGTCCCTGTACTCCTCAGAGATCCAGCAGGAGGCCAGTCCCTGTTCTCCTCAGATTCCCAGCAGGAGGCCAGTCCCTGTGCTCCTCAGAGTCCCAGCAGGAGGCCAGTCCCTGTGCTCCTCAGAGTCCCAGCAGGAGGCCAGTCCCTGTTCTCCTCAGATTCCCAGCAGGAGGCCAGTCCCTGTGCTCCTCAGAGATCCAGCAGGAGTACCTGACTGTGTGTGTGTGTGTGTAGGACGAGTACCTGAACGAGGAGGTGGACGCTCGCATGATCGAGTACGAGGACAACAGGCCACTGCTGGAGCTGTTCCTGCAGAAGCCTGTGGGTATGCTCTCTCTGCTGGACGAAGAGAGCCGCTTTCCACAGGCCACAGACCAGACACTCGTAGGTCAGTGCCTTCAGCAGCAACACAAGTATAGAGCTAGTTAAAGATGTTCAAGATGTTTTTACAATATTGTGGGAAAACCCTAGGAGTATCAAGTTTTCATGTGTTTTCAAATAGGAATGGAATTGACCAAATGCCTGTAGTCTACAAAAATAATACCGATACATGGACCAATGGGATTCGTTCATCCCCAACGAACCAATGGGATGTGTTTACCCCCTTCACCCTCTTCCTGTTTCTCTCGAGTGCACCGGAGTTATCAGATTTTCTAAAACCTAAAATGCCTGAACAGAAAATGCTAATTTCACGTTTTCCACCCACTCTCCCTGTTGTGACAAAGAAAATAAAATGCTGGATGTTTGGTTTGGTGGAGAGGCAAGGGGAGGGGGGAGTGGTTTCCAGTTGGGGCTACGGCTAAGCTAACAACAACGCTTACTGCACCTTTAAAAATTATTCACTGCTACTTATATCTGTGTATTTTGTGTGCTCCTTGTGCGGTCTCATTTGTTATGTAACGATGACACAGACTTGTCTTGAGTTTAGGTCAAAGCAACAACATCGACTTCCTCCAGAAAAGAGAAAGGATTGTGCAGCTTTAACTTGTACTTTGTGTGTTTTTCTCAGAGAAGTTTGAGTGTAACCTCAAAGCCAAAAGTTTCTGGAGACCGATGAGAGTCGATCACGGCTTCGGCATCACTCACTATGCAGGAAAGGTAATCCAAGTCCATTCAGTATCGTGATATTTGTACATCGATACAGTAGAGCAAAGTATCGTGATATTATTATTATTATTGATATATTTACGGTTTCACTTCTGTGTCTTCTCTGAGATTTCTCTGGTGGTTTACGCTCCTGTGCTATATGTGCTATATTATATTATACTTTTTGAGACTCTATCTGTTGTATTTGAGCAATTTTAAGTTATGTTCTGGCTCATCAGAGATAATCAGAATAAATATGTCTTAAGGCCGGAAAAAGGTCCTGTGTCTTTGAGTTGAGTCTTATTTTCCTCAATGTTTGTAATGTCTTTGAATAATAAGTGGGACATGAAGAATTGAACCGGCTGTATCACGATATGTAAAGAATCACCGTGGCCCAATTATCGCGATACTATAAAATCATCATATTTTTGCCAATTCCCAGTCTTAGTATTGAAAGGCCTTTAAATGATTAATTCTTCAAACCTGCATCAATTTAACAGATCCTCTTTGAACTACCTCAGGTCACGTACAACGCAGCTGGATTTTTGGCGAAGAACAGAGACACGCTCCCCGCAGACATCATCCTGTTGCTCCGGTCCTCAGAGAACGAGCTGATCTGCAAACTGGTCACTCACCCTCTGACCAAAACAGGTCTGGACTCTGTTGTTAACCTTTTAGTCCTGTCCCGGGTCCGCCGCCAGACACAGGACAGTACTGACATTTCCGTTAACGCTGGGCTAAAGTCATGGCTAAAACTGGTTATTATATAAAGAAAATGCAGCAAAACTAAATGCTGGCTGTTGCATGTACACACAAGGTTGCTATGGTAATAAGCTGGGACTGCTCCAAACAAGTCTAGGATCAAAAAAATAAAAATAAAATAAAAACACATACATAAACAAAAACAAAATAACATAGAAATAAACTACATATAGAAACAGAAACGTATTAAAACATTGCGCAAATTTGGCAAAATGACATTTAATTTGAGCACATTCTGACTTCCTTAACACAACATTTGCTGATGGGACGAAGCAAAAATCATCTTGTTTTAAAAAGATACAAGAAATATCTGCCTTGGAAAGAGAAAATAAGTCTAAATGGCTTTGTCCTTTTGGAAAATCTGAACTTGGAATCTGGAAAAGAAGACTCGATTCAAGCATTTATTACCTATTTTATCACTTTTTGCAGTGTAGCATTGTACGAGTCGTGCCTGTGTGTGTGTGTGTGTGTGTGTGTGTGTGTGTGTGTGTGTGTGTGCCTGTGTGTGTGTGTGTGTGTATGTGTGTGTCTGTGTGTGTGTGTATGTGTGTGTGCCTGTGTGTGCGTGCCTGTGTGTGTGCGTGCGTGTGTCTGTGTGTGTGTGTATGTATGTGTGTGTGTGCCTGTGTGTGTGTGTGTATGTGTGCCTGTGTGTGCGTGCCTGTGTGTGCGTGCGTATGTGTGTGTGTGTGTGCCTGTGTGTGTGTGCCTGTGTGTGTGCGTGCGTGCGTGTGCCTGTGTGTGTGTGTGTGTGTGTGTGTGTGTGTGTGTGTGTGTGCCTGTGTGTGCGTGCCTGTGTGTGTGCGTGCGTGTGCCTGTGTGTGTGTGTGTGCGTGTGTGTGTGTGTGTGTCTCTAGGGCCGCTTTGCTAACAGTATGTCCGTCTGTTTGTTTCCCAGGTAACCTCGCTCACACCAAGGGCAAAGGCATGAACACACTGCGGAGTCCGCGAGGAACCACCCGCACGGTCAACCTCACAAAGGTACACGCCCCATTTCCTGTTTCCTCCGTGACCTTTCACCTCCTCCATTTTATCCAAACAGTTTTTTAAATTAGCTCCTCCTTTAATCACGTCCATACATTGTTCTCATGCCTCCTCTCTCTGTTTCTCTGCGTCTCTGCACTGAAAGATGGGAGTGCTAACTTTTTACAGGTCCTGTTCTTTCTTGGAGGTAAACAGTAATTCACAAAGTAGTAGTAGTAGTAGAAGAAGAAGAAGTAGGAGTTCTTGTGCGGTTAAAAAGTACATGTTTAATAATTGTACATTGAATTCAAGTGTGTGGCAGGTTTTCCAAGATTGTCTTTTCTAAATTAACATTATTAATCTGAAGCTACACTGCAAAAAGTCATGGAAATTAAGTCAAAAAATGCCAATTTTTTATCTTATCTTTGAGCACATTCTGACTGCAAATGATAAAAGCAAAATGATCTTGTTTGAGAAAGATATAAGAAAGGTCTCTGTTGAAATGAGAAAATACAGAAACTGTTCTTGAAATAAGTCTAAATGCCTTTGTCCCATTGGAGAATCTGGTTTTAAGTCAGAATGTGCTTAAATTAATGGTGTATTTAGACCTGCACATTTGCTCCACTTTAAACGGACCAGGATTCGTTTGGAACTCTGATCCGAAGCTTTTATGCAGGTCTGAATACACACAAACGAATCCTGGTCCGGACCAAAGAACCGAACCGAGACCCACTTTTTGAGGTGGTCTCGGTCCGCTTCCAAACGAATTCTGGTCCAAGTCGAATCAGGTCTGAATACATCCGGTGTCGATCCGACACAACTCCAAGATACGTGCGCATTTTTTGGGCTTAACAAGCACCGCAGACAGAAATTAATAGTTACCTAATGACACTTAAGTTCTACGAATAGGTGCGTAGTCCCTTAGGACTTCGCTAGTGGGATATCACTCGTGACCCCCAGGTCACACGCCAGAGAGATCAAAATAATTTGCTCCAATCACTAGCGACCCTCCTCTATAAAGGCCCCTGCACAAGGCCGCACCCCCTCTTGAACTCTGCCAAGCCGGGCTGGCCTGATGGGCTCGTAGCTAAGGGACTACGCACCTATTCGTAGAACTTAAGTTACATTAGGTAACTATTAATTCTACGTCATGGTGCTACGTCCCTTAGGACTTCGCTAGTGGGACACAACGCGGAGGCCGTAGGAACATGTACTCCCAGCAGGCCAGCGAAGGGTGATTGGAGCTCCGCCCGAGCAAGACCCTCACACAGTGAGAGGACTCAGGGCAGAAGAAGCAATTGCGTGTTACAGGGCCACTCCTACCAAGGATACCCCCACGTAACACAGACCGAAGGTCACCCGTAGTCCCAGGACGCCTCTCCCAAGAGCTCCTGACGTGGACTACCTGACTGACCAAAAGCACACACATACCGCACCTGCAGGACGCCTCTCCCAAGAGCTCCTGAACCAGGGCGGAAAGTCAACCGAAGGCCCCCTCAGAGGAGGGACCTAACGGTCTCAACTCAGTCTGCTGCACTCAGCACGGAATGGGCCACCGACCGGTCCGACACATCCAAAAGATAAGACCGGACGAAAGAAGAGGACGACGCCCAAGAAGCCGCACGGCAGACGTCCTCGACCGACGCCCCCTTGAGAAGGGCCGTAGAGGCCGCCATCCCACGTGTGGAATGCGACCTGAAGCCCACCGGGGGGGCCAGACCCTGCGCCTGATACGTCCGCCGCACCGCCGTGGCGACCCAGTGCGCCAGCCGCTGAGCCGACAGCGGGGCGCCCCTGTTCTTGGGGCCCAGACACACAAACAGCTGATCACCCAACCTGAATGACGACGTCATGGCCAGGTAACGCCTCAGCATTCTGACAGGACACAGAAGGTGCCGTCGCTCCTCCTCGGGAGGCATGCGGTGGCGGATAGAAAGCCCTAATCCTGATGACTCTCGACCTAAAGGCCGACGTGATGACCTTGGGGAGAAAAGCCGGATTGGGCTACAATTCCACCATGCCGTCGCCCTCTCCAAAGGACAGGCAAGACGCATGGACAGAGAGCGCACACAAGTCGCCCGCCCTCTTAGCAGACGCCAACGCCATAGATCCATGTGTGGGACAGAGTTATTATCATAGATCCATGTGTGGGACAGAGTTATTATCATAGATCCATGTGTGGGACAGAGTTATTATCATAGATCCATGTGTGGGACAGAGTTATTATCATAGATCCATGTGTGGGACAGAGTTATTATCATAGATCCATGTGTGGGACAGAGTTATTATCATAGATCCATGTGTGGGACAGGGTTATTATCATAGATCCATGTGTGGGACAGAGTTATTATCATAGATCCATGTGTGGGACAGAGTTATTATCATAGATCCATGTGTGGGACAGAGTTATTATCATAGATCCATGTGTGGGACAGAGTTATTATTATAGATCCATGTGTGGGACAGAGTTATTATCATAGATCCATGTGTGGGACAGAGTTATTATCATAGATCCATGTGTGGGACAGGGCACGGAGCGCACAGTCTCCTTCGGCTTTCTCCTCACGCATTCTCCGACGCTGTTCCAATATTTAAAACAACGTGTTTGGCCTGTGTCATATGAGCTGCTGTTGATGTTGAAGGTGGTTTTGCTCTAAAAAGAGCAAACATAGGCAGAGCAGACAGCCTGCACATACGAGCCCTCAATGTTTTCCTCCGGTTCCGCATCTATCCTCCGTGAGCTCTGCTGTCCAATAGGAGCCGATCGTCACACGTGTCAATATGTTTATATAAAAAAGTTCACTTGCAAAAAGGACAGTCTGAATACAAACCAGAGCAAAAGAAAAAAAGTTTGGTCTGCTTTTGATTCGGAGCAAGCAAGCGGAGCAAAGGACTTTTCAGGTCTGACTACAAACTAAAAACACTTGATTCAAGCCATTATTACCTCATATTTATTCATTTTTTGCAGTGTAGGAGGTGTTGTTCCACAGAGAGCGGGACGACCTCTGTCCAGAAATGTTCATAATTGTCTCTAAATATCCAGGCTCATCACGTCAGATAAACTGGCTGTAAATTCTGCTCAAAGTCAGAGGGATTGGATTAAAATACACTTTTTGCCTCGACCAATCCCTTTTCAAACCATGCACAGGTTTTTTTATTTTCTCTCATCATATTTTCTTGTAAAAAATTGTATCTTGTGCATTTTTTGAAATAAATAAACAGATGAATGAGTCAGCACCAGGACAGGTGGCTGTGTGGATAGCACTCTCAAATCTCAGCAAGAAGGGTGTGGGTTTGAATCCCGGTCGGAACAGGGCCTTTCTGAGTGGAGTTTGCCTGTTCTCCCCGTGTCTGCGTAGGTTTCCTCCGTGTGCTTCGGTTTCCCCTACCACTAAAAACATAAGCCTGGCATGCACTTCCTGTACTGACCCCGCCCCCATCTCTGTGTGGAGTGACAGATAAACACTGATGGAGTGATAAATACTGTATAATAACAATTGTAAACCGTTTTGTGTCAAACTGACCTGGGGGTATATCACCTTTAATAAGTACACAAAACCACATTGTGCATATGTCGGTCTTCTTTCAGCCTGAACCGAGATTAATTGAGTTTTAAAAAGTTGCTAAAGGTCGTTGCCAGTAATGAATGAATTGCCGCACAAGTTCTGAGACCATAAAACCCAGACTTTCTTGTTACCAGTGGCCAATTTGGTGCCGTGATTGCGCTCCGTGTGATCGCAAATCTACCATTCTGCTAAATGTAGTCTTGAGGCATTATTCCGAACCTAAAAGCAATTGACAGTGGCTCCATTCAAATGAACTGTGTTTGATGCGTCCTGAATCCATTTCCATTCATCTGCATAACTTAGAAAAACAGCTCATCAAAGGTTCCGGAGACTGAGCTCAGAGCGGTCTCCGAACAGAGCGGCACAAAGTCGGGCTCTTCCCGGTGTTTTCTCTAAAAGCTGCTCGTGTCTCGAGTCTTTTGTTTCAATTAGATTTGTCAAAGTTTACAGACTAATATCCATCTATCTATCTATCTATCTATCTATCTATCTATCTATCTATCTATCTATGTATGTATCTATCTATCTATCTATCTATCTATCTATCTATCTATGTATGTATCTATCTATCTATGTATCTATCTTTCTATCTATGTATCTATCTATCTAATATCTATCTATCTATCTATCTATCTATCTATCTATCTATGTATCTATCTATCTATGTATCTATCTATCTATGTATCTATCTATCTATCTATCTATCTATGTATCTATCTATCTATCTATCTATCTATGTATCTATCTATCTATGTATCTATCTATCTATCTATCTATCTATCTATCTATCTATCTATCTATCTATGTATCTATCTATCTATCTATCTATCTATGTATGTATCTATCTATCTATCTATCTATCTATCTATCTATCTATGTATGTATCTATCTATCTATGTATCTATCTTTCTATCTATGTATCTATCTATCTAATATCTATCTATCTATCTATCTATCTATCTATCTATGTATCTATCTATCTATGTATCTATCTATCTATGTATCTATCTATCTATCTATCTATGTATCTATCTATCTATCTATCTATCTATGTATCTATCTATCTATGTATCTATCTATCTATCTATCTATCTATCTATCTATCTATCTATCTATGTATCTATCTATCTATCTATGTATCTATCTATCTATCTATCTATCTATCTATCTATCTATCTATCTATCTATCTATCTATCTATGCATGTATCTATCTATCTATCTATCTATCTATCTATCTATGTATCTATCTATCTATGTATCTATCTATCTATCTATCTATCTATCTATCTATCTATCTATGTATCTATCTATCTATCTATGTATCTATCTATCTATCTATCTATCTATCTATCTATCTATCTATCTATCTATCTATGCATGTATCTATCTATCTATCTATCTATCTATCTATCTATGTATGTATCTATCTATCTATGTATCTATCTTTCTAT